GGGCGCGCGGCGCGCGCGCGGGAGGGCGCCGGGGGAGGGGGCGGGGCCGCGCCGCCCGCGCCGCGCTGGGCTCTCTCGGCCAATGAGCGGCGTCCACATGCCGCGGCGGCGGCGAGAGGGGAGGCAGCGGCGGATAAATGCTATTAGAGCAGCCTCCGCGGAGCCGTCCCCGACGCCACCTCCCGTCTCCTCCGCCGCAGTTTCCTCCGCCGCTGTCGGGGGTGCAGAGCTGAGGGGCTTGGGCAGGCGCGCCGCGCTGCTCCTCTCCCGTCGCCCGCCTCGCTGTCCTCCGCCCCGAGGGCTCCGCTGGGCGCCCCTCCTCAGCCGCGCCGGGTCTCCTCAGCGCACCGCCGCGGCCTGCGCTGCCTGCGGCCGGCTGGCAGCCGAGGCGACGCACACTTGCGGCGGGGCGGGAGGCTCGCAGCCCCTCGGGTGGGCTCGGCGAGGCCCGGCCGCGTGCGGCGGTTTCTGGGGGAGGGGGCTCGGGTGATTCAGCGCCCGGTCAGGCGGAAGCGGCCGCCGCCGCGGAGGAGGAGAAAAAGGAGGGGACAGCTGTCCGCGCCCGGGCGCCCGCGGTGGCACGAGCCCGCGGCCCGAGTGCGAGGCGGAGGCGAGGAGGCCGCGGGGACGCGAGGCAAGGCCGGCCGGGGCCCCCGCAGCCATGGAGAACGCTCACACAAAGACCGTGGAGGAGGTGCTGGGCCACTTCGGCGTCAACGAGAGCACGGGGCTGAGCCTGGAGCAGGTCAAGAAGCTCAAGGAGAGATGGGGCTCCAACGGTAGGTGCGGGGCGCCGGGGCTGCAGCGGCGCGGCGCGGGCCCGAGCGCCAAGGAAGATGGCTGACCCGGCTCCACCTCGTGGGGCTCGGCTGGGCTGGGCGCCCGACGGCTGCGAGAGGCCCGGCGGTCCGCGCGCGGGTCCGGGCCATCGCCGACCTCTAGGGGTCTCGAGCCGGTGACCTTCCCGGCGCTCAGCAAGCAAGGAGGGGGGGAGGGAGGGAGGAGGCTCCTGCGGCTGGGCAGAGTCCCCCGCGGATTTACGAGGCGTCGTCGATGTTGTTGAGAAACCCTCCGACCGTTTCTTGTACTCCCCAAAGTTGCACATCTGGCAGAAGTGATGACCCAGCTGAAATGACTGCATGGTCCTGGAGGCCCGAGAGAGCTTACGAGCCGTCCCGAGGCCATTGATTACCAGGGCTGCATAATTTTCTCGGGGTATCAAAGTGGAGAGAGATCGTTGAACGTTCATATTATCTATAGCTGCCTTTGAGACAACGATGGTGGTGAATTTAGCAGTTTTTAGAAAAGCGCTAATAAAACGTCTTCATTTTTTCTCTCTGCTTTCCTCCTGACACGTTGCCTGTGGAATTTCGGCATTCTAGAATTACCGGCTGAAGAAGGTAAGTAATAGTAACGTGTCATTTTGGAGAGATGAAGTGTGTGCAGCCTAGGAGTGATTGATGTGGACAGTTGAAACAAATGCTATTTTTTTTTCTTCTTTTTTAACAGGAAAAACCTTGCTGGAACTTGTGATTGAGCAGTTTGAAGACTTACTAGTTAGAATTTTACTGCTGGCAGCATGTATATCTTTCGTAAGTATTTAAGAAGTTATTTTGTCTACCCCCTAAATGTTGACAGTATTTCGTTGATACACCAGAAAATAAATAATAGCCATTGAGTTTCCTAGTTTAAAACTAACAAAATAACCCAAGAATTAGAGGGGAAAATGCTAGAAGCTATTTTGTTTAGGTAATAGACACTTTTACAGTGCAATGAGAAATGGCCCCTGACTTTGTAGGGTCTCTGAAATTCTTGTGCCCTGCCAGTTTTTAGTATGAGAAAGTTTCTCATTGCAAGGCCTTTTCTGTTGGGGTTCTTCCATTTGTTATCATGTTGTCAGATCACACTAAGATGATGTTGGGCACTTTGTAAATAGAGCGTACAAAAGGAATATTCCAGTTGGTTTGCCTTCCTGGTAGTGGCAAGGTGACAGTTGTTCCTGACAGTGACAAGAATGATGACGGCAGTGATGGCACCACTGTTGACCAAATTTGGTCACTGACCTTTAGGGTGGCATCCAACCTGGACCCCTGTCTTGAGTGATTCCTAGACTGAGAGGACAAAGTTCAGTATTCTTGGTTCTAAATACTAAAGAGGGAATACAGGTAGAGGTGGGATTTTTTCTTTCTTTCTTTCTGGTTCTGTATGTGCTTGATCCACTGTGGTTGCTAAGACACGAGTGAAATGCAGAGACCTGCCTAAGAAACACTAAGAGAGGTGGCAGGGTATTTCTAGATAATTAACATTTTACTACAGTATTTTTTTCCCTGGACAGTGGACTTTAGTTTCTTTAAAATGGTGATAGTGGTATGCAGATGTTTTTAATCTTTATAACACACACCAATTTTTGTTCTTAGAACATTGTATTCTTATACTGTGACAGGAAGTGAAAATCATACAGTTCTTGTTTTAGGTTTCACAAAACTGATAACTGTATGGTGTCAATTATGTATTCACACATAAGTCTGACCCAGGGGTTCTGTGATCATGGCCTCTTTGAAAACATTAGCATAGAGGATTGTTTTAGAGAACTTACTGAGTTCAGGTAAAGGAAAGATTAATTTTTTTAGCTGTCTTTAAAATAAATATTGGTGGCAAAGGTGACCTTTAGGGGCAATTGTGTACATAAATTTTGTCCTGAAACTTTAGTTTGTCATGGTATCTAAGTGTCGTGGCCATTTCTAGTTCAGTTCTTAAAAATCTTACCTGTGGTTTTTATAGAATAAAATTTAGACTCCTGTAGCAAACCATTCAGCATACCACTGAGTCATTTACTCTGTACTTCTTACATATAATATCTTTTTATGATTAATTTTTTAAAAATTCTGTCCAATAAGTGGTCGTTTTATTCGTAAACAAGGTAAGTGGGGTTGATTATAGTTTGAGCGTGTTGCCATGTGCTAAAATAAATTATATATTTGGGGGTTGTTTAAGGTTTGTATTTATGCAGGCTACATAATTCTGGAAATCTCTGCTTTGGCAGTGATGCTGGCATTCACTAAGGTCCGTCGAGGACTTAGAATTAGAAATTAACTAGGTGATGTATAAAAGCTGCAGGCAAAATGCTTTCTTACTGGTTCCTTTCCTGTCATGTGAAGCAGTCTTAGAGATGGACAGGTGAGCCCGTGAAGTGTGCCGAGTTACTTGCTGTTAGATTTCAGAGGGATTCAAACCGTGAGAGAATACGCTGATTTTTTTATCAAGCAGAATTAATGATTATAGATATATTTTACTTTGGAATAATTAGGAATTTATTATTTCTAATTTCCAATTTCAAGTGCTTAACATTTTTTGTGATAGAAGACATTGCCTGTTGGTGCTATGTTGGTACTTGAAATGAGTTCATTTTCAATAATTACTTGGAATTCTTGTTCAGGAAATGAACTGCTACATTTTTATGATACTAGTTATTAAATGACTAAAGAATAAGTGTTTAGGAAGTGCTTTTTATAGAATTCACTTAATTTGCTTTGGTTTATTTGATCAAGATTGTGGATAGATTAAGATACTCTTCAGAGGCTGCTCTAACTGTACTAGCTCTGACTTTTAATGCTTAAGTCTATATTAAAACCTTTAAAAATAAATAAACCCCAAGGTTGCTTTATTTTAAAAGAAAAAGTTCAGGAAGCTGAGGTATCAGTACAGCCTGGGCTAGAGTAAGGCCATATCTCAAAAACTACAAAAATGGAAAAAAGAAAAATTGTGCTCTAGAAGGTGGGTTTTGTTGATGTTCTTCATGGAGGGTTGATAGTGCTGTATGGTACTTGATCTGTTCTTTCCTTATTTCTTTTTATTTCTGTTAACTGCCTATATATGTATGTGCAATGTATGAGTATACTTGTTCAGGTCTGTGGGTGTACTTGTGTGTGAATGTGTGGGGCAGAGGGCAGAAGTTGACATCAGGCTCCTTGCTTAATAATTCTCACCTTACATACTGAGGCAGGGTTGCTGGATTAAACCCAGAGCTCACTGATTCAGCTAGTTTAGGTAGCCAGCTTGCCTCTGCCTCCTGAATGCTGCGATTACAGCCAGCCTACCATGGCTTGCTGGCCTTTATGCGAATACCTGAGATTTAAACTCAAGACCTTAAACTTCTATTGTAAACACTGCCTGCCGTGCCATCTTTCAGTCCCTTTTGTTTTGTTTTTGTGTTTGTTTTTTGAGACAGGGGTTCTCTGTGTAGTCTTGGCTGTCCTTGAACTCTAGACCAGGCTGCCTCCCAAGTACTGGGATTAAAGGCATGCATCTTAATTAACTATATCTTAGACTGGTCTCAAGCTCACTGTGTACAGCCCAGTCTTACTCGATCCTCTCTTGCCTTACTTAGCCTCTTAGATGCCAGGATTACAGGCTTGTTCCATCAACGTCAGCTTTTTATTTTCATAGTTTACAAGTAAGAGCCTGACTTATTTGTGATAGTATATTCTTACCGGCATAAGAAAATCACGGTCGAATACTCAGGTTCTTTTGTAGAAGTGAATAGGCAGTTCTCATAAATCATCAGATTCTCCTCAGGTTAGAAAGATATTAATGATTTATTTCAAATATCAGATTAGTAAACCGTTAACTACAGTTAATGTTTTGCTCTAGCCAAAAAAAAAGAAAAGAAACCGCATTAATGTTTTACACTGTGGCCTATGGAGACAGTTTAATTTTTAGTATCCACTAAAATTGCTTCTTTTAAAAAGGTCAATTCAAATATGGTAGTGCATGCCTGTAATTTTAATTAGTGTTTGGATGCTAAGTAGGTGGGTTAGGAGTTGAAGGCCGTCCTTGGGTATACAGTGAGTTTGAGGTCCACCTGCTGGTATGTAACCACTGTCTCTGCAAATGCATCTCCCTTTGCACATGGGTTAATTTGACACCATTCACTATTTTTGTTTCATTTGGGTTTCTGCGAATGGTTGCCTAACTGGAATGCCTGCCCACTCGTCCTCTCCCCAATTGAACACTTGACATACACACTAGGGACAACAGGGAACATGGGGGTCTGTTGCCTTGAATGGTATTTTTCAGCAAAGGGGCTGTGATAAAGGAGTTGGTATAGGGAAGAGAAGTGCTGGCTTTTAGGGGGTGGTTGTGTAACATCACAAGATTACCTTTGAGTAAAGATCTGAAGGAGAGGTCAGTGTCACTTAGGGCTATGTTGGCATTAGCTGATCCCTCTAGACAATAGTGGTACCAATGATGAAAATCTGCAAAGTTTCTTTACTCATTGTGCCAATTCCTATTTTACACTACTTAGATTGACTCTAAAATACTTTTTTTTTGTTGTATTTTTAAGACAGGGTCTGTCTTTGTAGTTCTGGCTATCCTGGAGACCAGGACTATATAGACTATGCAGGCCTTAAACTCAAGAGATCCTCTTGCCACTATTGTGTCGTATGTATCTTCAGTACCTTAAATATAGGAATGAATTTGTTTCTAGGATTTTGAGACATTGATGAAATAGGCTATCTAGTTTTACTTTGCTGGTTTCAATGATCTTCTGAAAGCATTTGATAGTGCATTTTGTGGTGATTGAAATTTTTAAATTTTCTTGTGAGTGAGTTCCAGGACAGCCAGGGCTATCCAAAGAAACCCTATCTTGAGAAACCAAAAAAGAAAAAAAAAAAAAAAAACAAGAGGAAGCATTAATGTTTTCCTCACTTTCCTACTATAGGGATATACTCCAGGGCTGTGATCTCTTGCACTAGCCTCTTGTGTGCTGGGATCATAGGTGTGTATTGCCAATGCTTAGCTCTTTGAAGTGTTTTACAGAAGAAAATTAATTCTAATTCATTCATGTTAGGTTTTTTGGTTTTGTTGATTGGACTGAAGGAATTTTGTCACCCAAGATCTTAGCCAGTCATTTATTGATAATCTTTTGTGGTGTTTTTGTAAAGCCCTTAATTTCCATTTCTTTTTTTTTTTTTTTTTTTTTTTTTTTTTTTTGAGACAGAGTGTCTCTGAATAACAGCCCTGGCTGTCCTGGAACTCACTTTGTAGACCAGGCTGGCCTTGAACTTACAGAGCTCTGCCTGTTTCTACCATTAAAAGTCTTAATGTAAATTTTATTTACTGATTCAAAGTTTCTGAAGATACAAGGAAGATGAAAATAGCACTTTTGATCTTTCTTACCCTCTGCAGGTAATGCTGGCATTAAGCCTAGGCCCCTCACATGCGGTGCAATTACTCTCCCATTACACTATAGTCCAGCTTCTTTGCTTTCTGGGTAGTCTTGAGAGTTCAGCCTTAATTGAGTGTGGCGATACACGATTTTACTTCCAACACTCAGGAGGCAGAGGTAGTAGATGGATCTCTGGGAGTTCAAGGTCAACCTGCTCTATATAGGGAGCTCCAAGCCAGCCAGCTGAGGATATGAAGACGCTTGTCTGGAAAAGAAAGAAGGAAGGAAGGAAGAAAAGCTCAGCCCATAATCCTGTCATATGATGATGACCCTCCCTCCCATGTATATAGCAGAACATGGCCTTTTTTGTGTTAGAACAAAATTTGCTTTATTCCTATTAGGAGTTAGTAGTGTCAGCCAGGTTAAGACATACACTTGTAATACCAGTCTTGAGAAAGGTAGTGTAGGAAGACTAGTTCACGTTGGAAGTCAGCATGTCCAGCAAAAACAGGATAGTTAGGGGGTCTGAAGAGATGGCTTAGTGGCTAAGAGTACTTGCTACACTTGTAGAAGACTTGGATTTAGTTCCCAGAACCTTCATCAGGTGACTCAAGCCATCTGTAACTCCAGTTCCAGGGTGTCTGACACTTTTTTGGATTCTGTGGATACCAGCAGACAGGATGTGCATATACATATTCTCGGGCACACACACATACACACACAAAAAAAAACTTTAAAAAAAAATATATGGGCATTAGTAGTGCCGTAGTGCCATTTCTTGTGAGTTTGGATGGAACCCAAGACCCTCACATCTTTTAGGAAAGTGCTGTCCCACTGAGTTAGACACTAATCCAGAGACTGATCTGTAAATGAATGCCGGTAGAAAGAGCTCTCCTACACTGCTTCAGCTTAAAATGTAGTGAGGAGTGACTTGGAATAGGGTTGGCATGTTTAAACCTTTGAATTTACTGCAGGGAAAAGGTGCTGCTACTGTAACAATACAGAGTTTAGAGGGAAGAAGAAACAATGTCTTTGCCTAAAATTACACTTTGCTCTTTTTCTTTTAGTCAGCGGTGGAGTGTTGGTTACTTTGTTTACTCATAGACTCTCGCCTAGGGCTTTGTGTTTAGCTCTGTCAGCTCTTGTTTCATTGTTTCCCCCTTGTCCAGTATTACATACTGAGCATCATCTAGACACCAGAGCATCTTCCAAGCCCTTAGGGATGCAGCTGTAAACAAAGGCCGGATAAAGAGAATCCTTGATGTTCAACCTAGTCTCAAACAATTTTTTTAGACATATTTCCCCTTTTGTGTAAATCTATTTTCTTTAACTTAGGAAAACCCATAATTATCACTAAACTGACCAAACCATAAGAGAGCATCTGTTCAGTTTCCTTACACCTTTTCCTTCCCCATCAGTCATTTGTCAGGACTCTTTTCCCATCTTTATAACCTGATAGGATTTCTTATCAATAGAGCAAATCATGAGACACCGAAAGGCACAATCTGAGCATAGATTTGTTTTTAGCAGTTAAATGTGATTGATCTTCAATTTGAGGTATAGGATTTGAGTTTCTGGGTTATTTAATATTTTACAATAGGCTTAATCTTGAAGAACTTTTTAGATTATGTGCATTTATGTGTGTTTGTGTGACTGTACGTCACATGTGTGGGTCCCCTCTGGAGGCAGGAAGAGGGTTCTTGATCCCCTGATGCTGGAGTTACTGGCAACTGTAAGCTGAACTGGAGCCCTGGAAGAGCAGCAAATAGCTCTTAGCCACTGCGCTGCCTCTTCAGCCTCAGTTTTGTTTTTGTTTTAATAAAGCATTCAAGAAACTGCTATGGAAACCCCCTTATCCCTTGTACTGGAGACTGACCCCAGGGTCTAGCGTATGTTAAGCAAGGTCTCTAGCCACTGAACTATCTTGCCACCTCTGAGTGGATGGTCCTTAAACTTTAAATAGGTTTGGATTCCATTCTTAGCAGATTTGGCCACTAGTTTCTCACTCAACAATAATTAGTATATCTGTAGAACCTGAGTGTGGGTAGCCTATGTTTTCTCTTCAGCAGGACACAGGGAAGGCAAATTTAGTGCACCAATTAAATTAAGAATCTTGCATTTGATAAATATTAGTCATGAGAACGCTGCACATCTCTTGACTGCTAAAGGTTTGCGTTACTCTAGTAATTCTGACACTGCTCACCCTTTCCTTCGCCCCAGCTGTTAAGGGATAGTGCCCTAAGTTGTCCCCAGGATTGGCTGCCAAGAAGGAAAGTCATACCGACTTTAACAAGGTGTGAAGCTTATCTTAGAGTCACTAATGCCTCACTGACCTTTGGGAAAGGCCCTAGCCACTTACGAAGTTGAGCAATTTTTCTTCTTTAAGAGCTAATTAAATTTCTTATTCTGATATGTTCTCCTTGGCAAATGTTTGGAAGGCTGTATCAGCAGCTGTGATCCTGCATCTATCAAAATTTATAACTTCCTAGAGAAGTTTTCATTTTGGCAGAGATCCTGGCCTTAATGCTGGGAATGCCCTGTTAAAGCTTGTGGTTGTGTTTATCACATCCATTCTGGTTTCCTCCTGCCCTGCTTGTCAATGGGAATTGACATATGTCAGAGCCTGGGTACTTCTTCTTTAGTTTTTTCTTTGATATGATTCGTTGCTAGTTCAATGTTATTCCTCTTTAGAGTTTTAATTACCTTTTGGTAATTTGCAATTTGTGGGTTTTTTTGTTTGTTTGTTTGCTTGTTTTTTGTTGTTTTGTTTTTTGGTTTTTTGAGACAGAGTTTTTCTGTATAGCCCTGGATGTCCTGGAACTCACTCTGTGGACCAGGCTGTCCTGGAACTCAGAAATCCCCCTGCCTCTGCCTCCCAAGTTTTGGGATCAAAGGCGTGCGCCACCACTGCCTGGCTTGTTTTGTTTTTTAAAAACTTCATTGAGAATAAATACTATGTCGGCTCACTTAATCTTATTAATTTTACTTATAACACAGGGTTTATATATACGTGCGTGTGTGTATGTGTGTATATATAAATAAAATGTTTACACACACACATTATGTTTGTTTGGAGACGGGTCTCTTTATTATGCCCTGGAACTCGCCTTGTAGACCAGGCTGGCCTTCAACTCAGATCCACCAGTCACTGCCTCCTGAGATCTAGGATTAAATGGCGGCGGGGGGGGGGGGCCCCCCAGGTCTATACAGAGGTCACATAACTTACGAAATTGGTTCTCTCCTCCCACTTTTATGTGGGTTCCAGGGATTGAATTCAGGTTGTCAAGCTTGTAGAGTGTCTTTACCTGATCAGCCATATTGCTAGCTCCTAGATAATCTTTTAAAGAAAAGGTCTTTATTGTGAAATGCATTCATTTTAAGAGATTCAGCCTCCTCCCACATGCAGAGCAAAGCCCGCCTCTCAGATTCAGTCATTCAGATTGAGAGGCTTCTAATCAAATCGCCACTGACATTTGTCAGGGCTTGGCTCTGGAAAATGAGAGGAAGCTTGTGTGCATATGTCACATGGACATTGTCATATGGAGGTCAAAGGACAACTTTGAGGAGTCAGCGAGTTTGAGGATTGAACTCAGATCATCAGACTTGGATATCAAGTGCTTTTACCCACTCTACCTTCTCACTTGCCTTCCTGGTTAACTTTTAACTCATTTAATTGGCAGTTCTCACCCCTTTTAACAGGGGTCATCTAAGACCATCAGAAAACACAGGTATTTACGTTACGGTTCATAACAGAAGCAAAATTACAATTATGAAGTAGCAGTGAGAGTAATCTTATGGTTGGTCACCACAACATGAGGAACTGTATTAAAGAGTCGCGGCATTAGGAGGGTTGAGAACCACTGCCTTAGATGTTCTTAACTTAATTCATTCACTGTGTTCTCTTTATCATCTTCATAGTATCTTGGCTATTATAGCTGGTTGGGGTAAGGATGTTGCCTCAAGCTGGCAATTGGCAATCATTCTGTCTTGCCCTCCTAGCATAGGTTAGGTCAGGTAGGGTTTTGTTTTGTTTTTTTAAAAAAGAAGGTTGTATTTGAGAGGCAGAGGCAGGCGGATCTCTGAGTTCGAGAGTTCGAGGCTAGCCTGGTCTACAGAGTGAGTTCCAGGACAGCCAGGGCTACACAGAGAAACCCTGTCTCGAGCCCCCCCCCCCCAAAAAAAAAGGTTGTGTGTGTGAGATGTGAACATTAACTAAATCAGTGTGGGTGTAGGTGTTTACCTGTTCACCTTTTATTGTATTAAAATCAGGATTTTTAAGTTTTATTTATTTGAAATATTTATCTATGAGGTGAATGAGATTCTTTCCACCAAAACAAACAAAACCCCACTATTTGTGCTTTAGAGTGCAGTGAATAAAAAAAACCTAAGTCTTAATAAGAATTATTAAGAAGTTAAGTAATCTTAACTCAGGTAAGAAAAGGATATATGTACATGTGTATATATGTATATATATGTATATATATATATTATATGTACATATATATATCAATTGTTTCTGTTAGTACATTTTTGCCTTATTTTTAAGATGTAAGAACAAGGGTTTTGTGGTTTTTTTTCTATAATAACTTCCATAATGCGAACTCCTTTTATTATGAAAGTACCTAAGTCTAAAAGCACATAAGCAGGTCTAACATGTGCCATTTTTCTTTTAGGTTTTGGCTTGGTTCGAAGAAGGGGAAGAAACGATTACAGCCTTTGTAGAACCTTTTGTAATTCTGCTTATATTGGTAGCCAATGCAATTGTGGGTGTATGGCAGGTAAGCAAAGAATTTCTGCAGCAGTGTTAAGTGTTACATTGTAGTAATCTGGTCATTTTTCTAAACATTAGCTTTTTTTTTTTTTTTTAAGGTTTATGTATGTGAGTACACTGTAGGTGTCGGGACACACCAGAAGAGGGCATTGGATCCATTACAGATGGTTGTGAGCCACCATGTGGTTGCTGGGAATTGAACCCAGGACCTCTGGAAGAGCAGTCAGTGCTCTTAACCACTGAGCCATCTCTCCAGCCCATTGTTTTGTTTTGTTTTTTTTTAAGGCAAGGTCAGCCCTTGATGTCCTGGAACTATATATAGACCAGGGTGGCCTGGAACTCACAGAGAAGCCAGGTGTGGTGATGCTGGCCTTTTAATCCCACTCAGTACTTGGGAGGCAGAGACTGGTGATCTCTGTGAGTTCGAGGCCAGCTTGGTCTACAGAACAAGTTCCAGGACAGCCAGAGCTACACTGTCTCAAAAGAGGGGGGAGGGTGTGTGTCTGTGTGTGTGTAGGGGAGTAGGGAGCTGAACAAAAAAGAAGCTGAGAATGAATGTGGATGAGAGGTGGGGTGGTAGGTCTTCCCTTGTAGTATAGCACTGAGGAGCTGGAGGCAGGATCTTTTGAGACTAGACTGGGCAACAATAGGAAGACCCCATTTTCAAAAAAGAAAGTTGATAATGGAAAGCTACAGAAAGCCAAAGAATGTGAAGACTATAATCTGCTTTTATATTTCATGATGATTTTGAGGACAAACATCATGAAAATGTCTTTTATTTTTCTTAGATTGCAGAGTAGGGAGGAGGCTATAAGAATTCTTAGAACCTAATTTGTTTTCAATTTCTTTCCATTACACAGGCTTTGCCTGCACACAAGCTGAAAGCTTATTTACTATAGAACAGAAATTGTGTCTTTCAAAATTGCTCTACAGGGATCTACCTCAAAAATGTTTTGCCTTTTGCTTAGAGTTTGAGAAGACATTTAGACTAATGTTTCACATTATTTTCAAGTTAGTTTCCCATCCCTACCCCCCTACCCCATTTCAGGATTTTGGTGTCCTTTTAGAACTGAAGTAGAATGCTTGACATTCTTTAGTTGATTTTTTAAAAAAATATTTATATATTTTTGGTAATAGCATTTTAGCCCAGGTTAGCTGCAAACTCAAGAAAGACCCTTCTGTGTCAGCCTTCCTGGTATTTGGCATTACAGGGGATCGATCGCTGGGCCACTCAGATTACCATCAGGCATACTTCACAAGCAGTCCTGGGGTGGGTGACTTGTCTGTTACTCCAGTTCTCAGGAGGGGCAGGCAGAAAGAACATTTTGCTGGCCTCTTGTTATAATGCCCCCACTCCATTTCCTCCCATGTTACAAATTTTGAGGCAGGATAGTGGCTAGGCATAGCTGTGTCATCAGAGTGTTTGGTAGGTTTTGTTATTGTTGGGCTTTTTTTTTTTGGTTCTTCAGTACAGAGTTTCTCTGTGTAGTCTTGGTTGTCCTGAAACTCACTCTGTAGACCACACTGCCTCAAACTCTAATGTGTTTTGTTTTTGAGGAAGTAGCTCATAATGTAGCCCAGGGTGGTCTCCACCCCATAGTTCTCCTTCCTGCCTCAGACTCCAAACAGCAAGGACTACAGGTTTGCATTGCCACATCATATCTATTTTATTTTTGAGACAGGGCCTCACTACATAATTCTGGTAGGCTAGAACTCACAAAGGACCAATTGCCTCTGCCTCCTATACTGGGTTAAATGAAAGCTATGTATCACCTTGTTTAGCCTAGCTTTTTACTGTATAAATAAGTTTGTAAATGTTTCTATTAAAATGCCAATTGTTGGGGGCTGAGAGATGGCTCAGTGGTTAAGAGCACTGGCTGCTCTTCAGAGGTCCCGAGTTCTATTCCCAGCACTTATGTGGGTGATTCACAACCATCTATACTGGGACCCAATGCCCTCTTCTGGTATCTGAAGACAGAGTACTCATATATAAAATAAATAATTTTTAAAAAATGCCAGTTGTTTTAGTGCAGGTGTCATTAATATGCTTTTTAATATTAAGATTGTAAATTTTAATTTCTAATCTAGAAATATTTAAACCAAGCAGGCTGGTTTACCATACTTGGTTTTTCTTTATACAGGAAAGAAATGCTGAAAATGCAATAGAAGCGCTTAAGGAGTATGAGCCTGAGATGGGCAAAGTGTACCGGCAGGACAGGAAGAGCGTGCAGCGGATTAAAGCCAAGGACATCGTTCCTGGGGACATCGTGGAAATCGCTGGTGAGTTGAGTACATTTTTATTTATTCCTATATTATATAGTTAAGGTTCTTTCCTCAAGGTTCAAAATTATATTTAGCTTCTTGTCTTTAAAGATTATTGTTTTGTTTTTTAAAATTTTATGCATATGGGTTATTTGCCTGCTCAGGACTGTCTGCACTGCACATATGCCCGGTGGTGCCTACAGAGTCCAAAAGAGGGCATTGGATTCTTTGGAACGGGAGTAAGCTGACATGTGGGTGCTGGGATTTGAACTTTGGTCTACTTCAAGAGCAGTCAGTGCTCTTATCCACTGAGCCATCTCTCTAGTCCTGTTTTTTTTTCATAATTATATTTAAAATTAAAATTTTTTAACAAGCAGGTCTTTAATTCTTGTGCCTTCTCCATACCTTTCCACTCTGTATTCCTCCCTCCCCCCCCTTCCCCCCCCTTAATTTTATTTGTTTTTTTTTTTTTTTTTTTTCATGTGCTTAGTCTGCATGTTCGTCTGTGTGAGGGAGTTGGATCCACTGAAACTTTAGTTACAGATGTTGTGAGCTGCCATGTAGGTGCTGGGAATTGAACCCTGGTTCTAGAAGAGCTACCAGTGCCCTTAACCACTGAGCAGTCTCCCTAGCTGCCTCCATTTTCTTTTTATATATGTATATATATTTTGTTGGGCTTTTTTTGCTGCTGTTTGTTTCATTTGTTTTTGGAGACAGAGTTTTGTGGTAGACCAGGCTGGACTTGAACTCAAAGATCCACCTGACTCTGCCTCCCGAGTGTTGGAATTAAAGACATTTTTAACATTTAAAAAAATTGGAAAGTTAAATATTCAAAAACCTAAATTAAAAAAAATAAAAAAGATGAACTTTAAAATTTGAATAAATACAGTTAGCAGTCATTCCCTACATTTAAGGTTATGTTTGTTTGACCTGTTTCTGAATCCTTCATGGGCAGTGCTAACACCCTGCTAGTTGTGAAAGCATGAGCTTGTGTCTTGGATTTTGATCATTCTAAGAGGTCCAGAACAGAGATAACTAGTCTTTTTCATAGATAATTTTTTTAAACTTCTTGTACTCCTTTCTTTCTAGGCATGTCCTAAGTATTCTGTAATGCTGACCAAAACATGAAATCACAAGTATGGGGTAGATGCAGCTAATAAACACCTTTATCATAAAACTTTCTCTGCAGGACAGATCGTAGATGTATTTAGGAATAGGCACTCAAGTGAATGGATATTTTGAGAACCATACAAATGTTTGGTTAATAGCCACCAGCCACTCATAAATGTCCTGTTCACCCTCTCTAGTTGAGGGAAACTAATCACTGTAGTTTCTAAGTAAAGTATATCCATGTTAAAGATATATATGATATGTACGTAAGTCACATTTCAATTTGTTGGTGGCTCAGGTCACTATTTTTTAGCATCTTAGTGATACATGGTTGACATGCCATACAACCTTCTCTTCCACATTACGAAGTTTTAACCTGTTCACAGAGTTCTGTAACCATCATTAATTCCAGACTTTCATCTTTTTTTTAGCAATTGTTCCTTGTCTTCCTTTCACTATTCCCTAACAACAACTTGTTTAGGTTTTTATGGGTTTACTTATTCTAAAACGTTACACACAATATATAGTGCTTGGATATCCAGACACACATAAGTATAAAAGTAAAAATAAGTAGTTTTTAAAAAGAAAATGAAATATTAATTATGAGCTAATAACTTTAAGGAGGGTTTTTGTGGACATTACATATGGCTTACATAAACCTTTGAACTATCTGGAACACATGAAGTCATGTAAAATTGACTTGACAAAAAGTAAGATAACTACTGTCATTCATTATTTCTACATTACTTTTAATACCAGGAAAATATTTCTGTTGGATGAGAACAAAAAGTAGTAAAGCTGTACTTAATCTTACAGTAAGGAAACGAGTGGTTTTAAATTTTCTGTAGTCTGTTAATCTTACAAATGTGTGAATTAATCTATAATAGCAAAAAAGTCTTTGAGTTTAGAGTTGGGCAGTGGCTTTGTTGTATGTCCTGGGGGCTGGCTTATTCAAGGGCACTGTGTTCATCACTGTTGGTAACAGGCTGATGACAGGACAGAGTGTAAGCATGCTCCTGTCCTGAAGCAGTCTCTGGAATGAGCTCTACTTTAAGGTTATTATGCAAGTGATAAAAATGACACAAAAATTGCTTTCAACCTTCTGTGAGAAATAGATTTTATATTTCCTAAAATGAAAACCAATTACTCAGTAGTAAGGACAGCATTTTCCAGATTTATTCAGTAATAAAGAGGAATAATTCTTAAACTTGACTATTTAAAAAATACTAATAAGATTTAGTGATATAAAGTTAGCCTCACGTGAGGTGGCACACAGCTTTTGTTCCAGCACTTGGGAGGCAGAGGCAGAAGGGATCTCTTTGAGGTTGAGGCTAGCCTGGTCTACATACTGAGTTCCAGGACAGACAGAGCTACATATACATAGTAAGATGCTGTCTCACGTATATGACTTTGCTAGGCAGTTGAGTACAAGGCAGGGTTATGTAATTGATAACTTAAGAAAACCAGCATTGTCTTCCTCTGCCTCACGTGGGACAGAACATTCACCTCTACAGAATTAGGCAGTGAATTGAAGTTCTTTGAAATAGTTTTCTATAGTACAGGCTAGTCATGACTTCATGAATTATACAATTCAGGCCTTGAACTCCAGGTGCTGAGATACAGGTATATACTGCCATTCCTATCTCTGCATAAATTCTAAGGAGCTTTGTGAATCTAAAATATATCTAAATTGGACAATTGTGACCATGAGGCATGGTTGTGGGTTTTTTGTTTGTTTGATTTTGTTTTTTTAATCTCTTTTAGGAAGCTGTCAAAGTTGAGCAGCTTGGCTTTGAATATTTAACAAACACCTAATCTTATGACCTCACCAGACATGAAAGCACAGAGCAAGGCTGGACATGGGATTTTTAAGCTTTGGCTTTTGTTTTGATGTAGGTCCTTATTGTATAGCCCAGGCCACGTTTGAACGCCTCCTAAATATTAGAATTGCATATGTGTATGACTATGCCAAATTGACAGGCATTTGGGTTTTTTTTTGGGGGGGGGGGATAAAACCAGTATTTTGAGCTTTGTGTTATTCACAGCAAAACCTCCCCCCCACTTCAAAGCAATCACTTAAAAAGTATAAAAATAACATCTCATCTCTGTAATCCAAGCACTTAGTTTACCACTAGTTTGGGGAGGGTGTGCATTACTTTTTTTGTTTGTTTTTCCAGACAAGGGGTCTCTGCATAGGCCAGAGTGTCCTGGAACTCTATGTTGATGAGACTGGCCTGTGAACTCACAGGTGCCTCTGCCCCCAAGTTCTGGGATTAAAGGCATACACTACCGTGTCCCACCTGTTGTTTATTTTGCATTATGGGTGTTTTGTCTGCGTATAGGTGCCTGCAGAAGCCAGAAGAATATATTGGATCCCTTGATACTGGAATAACAGATGGTTGTGAGCCTCTATGTGGGTTCTAGGGATTGAACATGGGTCCTGTGGAAGAAGAGTCAGTGTTCTTAACCTCTGAGCCAGAGTTAGGCATCTCTCCAGCCCTGTTTTTAAATACAAAACCAAAAGCTATTTGTTTGTTTGTTGTTGTTTAGAGCAAAACCTAACTTTATGACTGATTATTTAAGTCTGAAATGGAGCTGGGTAGTTTCTTGATTTCTAAAAGTTCCTAAGAGTCTGTCCCAGGATAGTGTGGGGAGCTAGAAAGATGGCAGTTAAGAATGACTACAGCTGCCAGGCGGTGGTGGCGCACTCCTTTAATCCCAGCACCTGGGAGGCAGAGGCAGGCGGACTTCTGAGTTTGAGGCCAGCCTGGTCTACAGAGTGAGTTCCAGGACAGCCAGGGCTACACAGAGAAACCCTGTCTCGAAAAACCAAAAAAAGAAAAAAAAGAAAAAAAAAAAAAGAATGACTACAGCTTTTGCAGAATACCAGAGTTCAGTTGACAACTTGAGTTCCATGGATTCCTCTGGCCTTTCTGGATAGATACCTGCATGTACATAGTGCACATAAACTCAGACAGGCATATGTATGAGCACACACAGAGAAACACAAATTAAAAAATACAAGAACAATTAGTTTTCTAAGATGAGATTCACTATTTTGGCCTGGTTGGCGTGGAACTCAGATTATCTGCCTCTTCCAGAGTGTAACTGTGTGTTCTGTCATGCAGATCACATTAACATTCTAAGTATAGTTTAAACAGTAATTATTATCCTCTTAAAGCAATTTACAGTTAAGCAATTTAATGAGATATTAGTTTTTTTCTTTACAGAAATTGAGTTTTTTTAATGTTTTTACACACACACACACACACACTCTGCTCTCACATACGTCTGCACACCCCAGGAGGGCCTTTTGGTCCACCATGTAGGTGCTGGGATTTGAACTCGGGATCTCTGAAGGAGGAAACCAGTGTTCTCAACCTCTAAGCCGTCTCTCCAGCACATAGGTTTTATGTGTCTATAATTGTCATACTGGACCAGAGAGACGGCGCGTTGCATAAACCACTTGCTATGCAAGGGTGAGCACAGGAGATGGGTGACCAGCGCCCACATAAACACGGGGTGCATGGCCTCTCTCCTAATCTTGTTATTCCAGCAGGTAAGCAAAAGGGATGCCTACAGCAGCTCGGCTAGCTACACTAGTTGAGGTGAGCTCTGGATTCAGAATGGGATTCCCTCTCAGTAAATAAAGTGGGGAATGGTGAGGACAACCTCTGATGTAACCTCAGGCCTCCACACACATATATTCCCTGTCCCCTCAATTGTTTAAAAGTCAAACTTACATTAAAGGGAAAAAAAAGAAGCAAGAGAAATGACCAAGTAAAGTGTTGGGCATGTTTGTTTTCCTTTGGCTTTTCCCCTCTCTGAAGTTGTTTCACTCTGGGGGATGTGGGAGAACAGAGCTGTCTATCCATAAAGGTCTGGGCATCTCGATTTAGCTTACACTA